TAGCTATCATCATCGACCGTAATAGCAGAGGTCAAAAAATTGCAACAAACTCAAAAACGGACTTTATAACACAAAACCACCTCTAGCTGTTCCTCTTCTTCAGTCGCATCGTATTCACCGCTTTGCTCCAACTCCTTCTTTTTCTGAAGTTCTTTCCATCTTTTCACTGGGTCCGGATCAAATCCTTAAGAAAAGTCTGATATGAAAATATAGAAGTAAAGGAAATTATCACGCCTAAACCTTTCTTAATGAGTTGTTCCACTATAGCGGCTTTCTTCTTGTTTTCCATAACAATCTCTCCCTTGATTTTGGCCAGGATAAATCGAGCCTAACGGTAAGTAGTAAGTATTGCATTGAATATATACATATATGGTAAAATTTACCTGGTTTGTTAGCCGATTTGACTGGGCTTTCAGCATTCCTTCCATGAACGCCTTTCTCTCAATATATTTCAATTTCCTAGTTTCAAAGAACTCAGCGCAAATTTCTTCTGGGGTGTTGAATTTGCGCAAGCAGCCAGCAGCATCAAACAATACCTACAACCAAAAGGAGTTTGCTGAGAAAACAAGATCACAAGCAAAAGGTCTTACCATTGATGTTGTATTTAGCACAGTTTGCAGTTTGAACACCTTGTGCAATCCCTCAGACTCAAGCTCTCGTAACTTCCCGGCCGCTAACTTGATGACAAAGCGTACAGTAGTATCGGTATGATACTCTTTGAAGTCGCTAAAAGCTCCTGTTGTGAAAGTAATTTTTTTGAGTCTCATAATTGAAAATCTACGTTATTAAAGGTGTCTTCTTATCACTCGACTCAAGCATTGGCTCCAAAACTGATTCTTTGTATGTCTGGGTCCATGTCTTGATGGGAAGCTCCGTAATTTCAATGGTGTCATCGCTCAGTACTGCAACTTCACCAGAGCAGACATAGCGGGAAGGATCAAGTTGCTCAATAGTTCCACGGAATCCTTTGAACCAAGGAGCCTTAACAACTCTCTGACTGACTTAATGAGCATTTCCAAAAACACATTTTTCCCGTCAGAACATCTCAAAAAGGAAAGAATGCAAACGTCATTAGAGCAGAGCTCACCATTGGCTTCGGCTGCTCTCCTCTGATTAATTTCCGCATATTCTCACAAATTTCTCTAGGATTGTAATTGTGAATGGAAGTGGACCATCCAGTTCCAATACCTGGAAAATGACCCACGAATCCCGTGTCCTACATCCACAAATTGTCACTCCTCCGAAAACCTCACCTGACGCTCCATTAACCAATACCATAGGTATGATAGGACAGTACCACTCTGGTTCAATTCTTTGATTTTCTTCGAAGAGGAAACGTAAAACGTGATCATCAAAAACTGGAAAGATTGTTCTCGAGACCGGGCTGAAATAGCACTAGCTTTAATTAATGAAAAGCTTCACTGTACTCAAAAGCACTCACTTAAGTTGAGTGAAAATATAACGAGGAGAGGCACTATCCTTTCCTCCTTGAAGTCGAGTACCGAACTGACCGATGGGGAGCAGCAGATTAATGTTATTTGATCCAACAAAATCCTGAATGGTAATGGTGCAAAACCTGTTTTTAATCTTAATTCGGAGAGCAGACCTGTGCTAAATTGATAATGGTACCCATTAATGATGCTTCACCATGGTGGTATGCCGATAGTTCACCTACCGCACCCGCCAATTGAGCAACTTTCACTTCTCTTTTATCGGCACGCTTGAAACAAGCGAAAATCACCTAAATAGATTGCTTTGGAATTGTCCTATGGAACATAAAAAACCAAGTTGCACTTACTTTTCTCTGACCAGGTTTAAAGCCATCAACAAGACTCGGAATTGAACGTTCATTGTCGGTGTTTGAGAAGAGCACAAGCTCCTGCAAACAAAGCATATACTCCAGCACAATCAGAAAAACTGAGAGACGCACTTTCAAAACAGTGTTAGCTACTCACTTTATTTACGAAATCACTGAATGTAACTGCGCGGGTGTCTTTGTTGTAAAGATACTCCTCTTCCAATCCTCTGGTGCGACGCTCTTTTTTCTCAGCCATCCATTTAGTCAGCCAGTCCTGTTTGAGCATATCATAAAGTAACAAGTAACTACAATGGAAACGAAAAGTTCCATGTAATAACCAAAGCTTGGAGCATTTCAAAATTATTTTATGTAGCGACTCACTTTTCGTTCCTCAATCTTCTTCTTAGAAAACGCCATGTCGACAGCGGTATCATCTTCTGCGCCACCATATTTGAAACGAATACGATGGCGGACCATGTCGGAAAAGTACTCCTTCGCCTCTTTTGACGTTGAAGTACCTATAATACTCCCATTTAAAAACACTTCAGCTTAAGTTCATAAAAAATAACGTACCCAATCCTTTGTAGTACTTAATCTTGAACGTTTTCCAGTTGTCTGTATTATTTCTCCACTCATTGTACTCAGGAATAGAGAAGAAAGACAATTCTTCCTTCCCTTTGGTAGCCTAGAAAAAAATTTGAGCGGGTATTCAAAAAACACTGCATAAGATTGAAATAGAAGAACCTTAACGATAGGAGTAATAAACTCTTCCACAAAATTCCTCTGTATAAGACTTGGCCAGTTATGATGGATAAAATTGATGACCAGTCCTTTGATGTGCGAGCCATCCTGATCCTAGAACAAGCAATCCCATTAATTTTTGTTCCTCAAATAAAACATGAGTGTATTTCTTAAAAGATCATCAAAAGCAAAATGCTTCTAAACTAAGCATTTCGTTGCTTTTCAATGCTGGCCTCAGATTCGCCTTTTTGTAATCATGATTATTGGCAGAACAAATCTGTATCTCTGCGCCTTTATATATCATCTACACCTTAAGATGACATTTCTAAAGCAGAGAAGTTTATATTGGCCAATATAGAAGCCTC